TTCATCAAGTCGGGACATGGATGCAGAGAAGTAGTTTACCCACAGCTAACCAGCTACTACAGTGGTTTACCCACAGCTAACCAGCTACTACAGTGGACAGTCGGCCTTGCAACAGACAGCCGCCCTCTTCACCCACTGGTGCTGAGCCACAGGCTGAGATGGAAAAGCTGGTGGTGGTTGGATCCTGGTATCACTGCTGGCATCATTCCTTCACTCACAGACCTTTGTTAGGCCCTAACCCCAACTCACTGTACTCCCAGCCTGAGGCCAGGCCACTGGACCAGCAGGATCCCCTGAACACAAGCTAGTCCCAAGGTCCCAGACAGACACGTCAAGAGCCTGGGGATACACACACCCCTAGTGATCAGACCGCTTGCCTGCCACGCCAATGGCCCGCGTCAGCTCGCAGGCAGTTGGAGTTTGGGCAGTGTCACAGACATGTACAAAGGTGACCACCTCTGTGCTGGACAAGGGGCAGACTGCAACCTGAGGTGGAGTGGTCAGAGAGGCCTTCCAGATGGCACTGGGGTACCCTGCAGGGAAGTAGGCACCATCTGGGGAGGCAAGTGGGACTGGCAGGTGCCAAGGCCTGGGCACGCAGAGAATGGCTTCCTTGGGAAACTAAAGGGGGCTTGGCATGGGGAGACCTGGGAACAGAGGAAGCATGGCCTCTGAGCCCAGACACTCGGGGCAGGAGATGTTGAACACTGAGCTGAGGACACTTGGCAGAGGAGGAAGATGAAGGTCAGGGAGTTTCCATGGTCCTTGCTGGACCAGACATCTAACAGCTGGCACATCCAGGCTCAGGGACAGGGCAGCTTCCTGATCTGGTGGTATGCATGAATGTCTCCGTATGCAGCCGGGCAGAGGCTATCTGGAGTCGGAATATAACGATAATGGCCGTGGGGCGATGTGCCCACAACAAGACCTTGCCATGCCTTCTGCAGTACACAGGGATGGCAAAGAGCCATTTGATTCTAGGCCAGGGTTTGTGGTCCCCTGACTGAAAAGCGCTTCTGACCCGTCTCCCCCCATTTCTGAGCACATACATTGCGCATTCATCCAGGGTACCCAGAGTGCCCTGGGCTTGGGAGGGGGGATAGCGAGCAACACGGCCAGGCGATGCATCTCGAGGAATTGTATACGCAACTGGGTGACTGACATCAGAGTCACTGAGGAAACGTGGCCAATGAAGGGGAAGAGCGCGGTTTCCTGAGAACAGAGGATAGTGACCCGCGTGCTTCAAAGAGGCCTTCCTGGGAAGAAATGTCCTCCAGGGTGAGCCGCAGGAAGAAAGGTCATACTCAGGCAGAAAAGAGTAGTCAGCAGCTGTACTTCCTCTGACTGCTCAGTCATGAGCCTCAGTTTACCTTCTGCACAGGAGAACTTAGACTGAAGGGCTACCTTGACTCACACGTCTGCTGTCTCCTCTGATCTCAAAGTCCCTGTGGTCACCTTGCAACCCTGCCCCCCCAACCTCGTGAGGGCCCCTCGAATCTGCCTGGATTGCAAAAACCACTGCCCAGTTCCTGAAATGCCACCAACTTACTCAGGTTCCCCTAAGGCCGATGGCTGGCTCCTCTGCTCAGGAAATGTCAGCTAAGGGGCACACTGACCTGGGGTCAAGGCTTTCAGAGAGTTTTCCACAGAAAAACTGGCTTTGGTGACATCAAGACTGGGCAGCTGTCATCATCCCTACCCTGTCACATCTCAGTTTTATCAGGCTTGGAAGTGTTTAGCCTTCTGACGAAAGTGTGCAGAGTCACACTCTGATCACAGGCCAAGCAGAAGCTGTGAGCCCTAGGGTACCTCTGCCTCCGTGGTGCTTACATCCTGCCGAAACAAGCAGTGTGGGCAAACGACCAGGCAGGTGCTACCACACCTGCTCACACCTGCTCACACGTCAACAGCAAAAGGAATGAGGACAGAAGCTAGAGGAGGGCTGAAGAGACGGCTCAGTCAGCAAGGAACTCGCTGTGTGAGGATGAGGGCCCGAGTTCGGGTCCCCAGCACTCCCATAAAAGCCGAGACTGGCAGTGTGTGTCTGCGATCTCAGCTGGGAAGAAAGAGGCTAGTTCACTGGCTGGCAAACTGGCCTGATTCGGATACAGAAAGAGTGGGGTATCTTTGAGAATGATGAAGCTTTCTCAGAAGAAACTCTAAAGTTGCCCAAGCTGGCTTGAGCAAATGATTTTGGTGTTCTTGTGTCAAGATTTGAAAAAAAAAAAAAAGTCAGGCGGTGGTGGCACACACCTTTAATCCCAGCACTCGGGTGGCAGAGGCAGGCGAATCTCTGTGAGTTCAAGGCCAGCCTGGTATACAGGGGGCTAGTTCCAGGACAGCCAGGACTGTTACACAGAGGAAACCCTGTCTCGAAAAGTCCCTCCAAAAAAATTTTTTTTGAAAAAATTGAAAAAAAATCAGTGGGCCATAGAGAAGAAATTTTAGAGTGATATTTATTATAGATTCATAACTGGGAGCCTAAGAGAGAGGGATGGAGCTCCTGGATATCAGGAGGGATCTCAGGAAATAAGCTACCATTGTGTTGCTAGTTAGGAACTTTTTAAAGGACATATCAGGAACTGGGGCGAGCTATGGGAGGGGTGCACTGTCAACCCGCAGGCCTACCAAGTGTCTGCTGCCTGTTCTGTTCCAGTCACCTCGTGGGGTGACTTTTCAACCTCCAGGCAGGAGTGTTCATGTAGGAGCTGACACAACAGGAACCAGACCCTCCTGGCACTCTTGCTTTCAGCAAGGACATTCTGGCAATGGCTGCTTCTGAGTCCTTACCCTATCAGACAGCTTTCAAAGGCCTGTTCATCAGTCCCGTGAGCTCAAGATTCAGAGAGAGGCCGCGCTTCAACGTCAGCCTCTGGCCTCCATACGAGTATTCACGCGCCTACCCCAACGCACAGGCACGGAGTGAGAAAGTCACAGAAGACCTTTCTCAAGAGGCTATCAGAGGGCCTGGAGAGATGGTTCAGTGGTTAAGAGCACTGCCTGCTTTTCCAGAGGGACCTGGGTTCAATTCCCAGCACCCACGTGGCAGCTCATAACTATAACTCCGGTTCCAGGTGACGATGGACACATGCACAGGCAAAACACCAATGCACATGAAATATAAATAGATTATTTTAAATTAAAAACAAAAAGGCGATCGGTGCTCCCTCAGCGGGTATCTCTTGCAGAGGACCCAGGTTCATCTCCCAGCACCCACATGGTGGAACACAACTCTCTGCAAGCACAGTTCTAGGTGACACCATGCCCTCTTCTGGTTTCCATGGGCACCAGGCACACACACACACATGTATAGCCAAACATTCACATATATAAAATATGTAAATCTTAAAACTTTTAAAGAAAGAACCAAAGAAAACAAGAAAGCTATGTGATCTGGGGAGCAGGCACCAAGCTTGGGGTGTGTGTGGGAGTGTAAGCATAAAAGACTAAGGCAGGCAAGCACTGTGAGCTGTGAGTGTGTGTGTGTGTTTGTCTGTCTGTCTGTCTGTCTTGGGTTAAACAGGGTTGCACAGCACAATGTATTTTTTGACACTAAGGCTTCTTATGTAGCCCAGGCTAGCCTCAAGTTGTGCTCCTCCTATCTCAGTCTCTTAAAGTCCTAGAAGTATGGGCATGTGCCACCATGTCCAAGGATACTTTTTGTCATGTATTCTATACATATGTGAGTGAGTATGTGTGTATGTGAGAGAGAGAAAGACAGAGACAGAGACTCAGAGAGAAGCACTATACCCCTTTGCCTCCCTCACCTCCTTCCTGGCATCAAGATAAAGAGGGGGAAATCACAGATGATTAGATGATTCTCAAGTGCAAGTAAAATAGCCCCTCAGTGAGCACATTATGCAAATCAGCGAGCACATTATGCAAATCTATGCAATTAACATCACCAATGAGGTGAAGCCTGGGGCCAAGAACCTAACTTCTGGGGGGCAGGTTAGGTTCCACTCTTTCTGGCCTCCCAGTGCCGGAAACTTCTCAGGATGGAAGAGACCTAGTGGACTGGGCTCGGTTGTGACTCAGACAAAGCTGTACATTTTATTATATGGAGAAGGGGTGGACATTGTTGCATTTTCTGGGCAAGCGTGGAAGCATTTGGCATGCGTGGCCCCTTTGTGCAGGGCTCTGGGCAGAACTCCCTCGCAATAAGAAATCTAGTTTTGTTACCGAGTGTGGTACAGTGAGCTACAGAGGGAGGTGCATGGTCAGTCCTAAGTCAGGCCTGCGGTGACTGGTTTTCAGGGTCTGCGAGTCCTGGGTCTGATCTGCTACACGTGTATCCTGTGAAGGGCAGTTATTATCTCCTGTCTTTTACTTGTTCTGCACCCATGTTGTTAGCTGGGTGACTCAGTCATTGGATTTAGGGCCTTCATCACCTGCAGGCACGGGCCAGAAACCCTTCCCTGTGGCCCTCAGCACGGCCTCTTTGTGTGGGGATTAGGTCAAGCTTCCTTATAGCTTGGTGGCCAGGCTCCAAGACAGTCAAACAGAAGTGCATTTTTATAGCCTAGCTTTGAAGTCACACAGTGTCACACTGCTGGCACGATCTCCTCAAAGCAGTCACAAAGGGAAGAGACACAGACCCCCACCTGTACAGCCACGGAGCCAGTGTCAAAAGGCTGCGTGGAATGAGAGGTGCCCACCATCGTGGGCAGCTTGGGACAATGTCATCCACCCTACCTAGAGAGTGAGGACCCCGAAGTGGGGTCTGGGTCAGAGTCTTGCTTCTGAGACTCCAGGCCACATTAGTTTTGTCAGTGGTTGCCCGAGATCCTCACAGGCCTGTGAGACCCTTTTGTGGGCCAAGTCTGTCCAGCACAACCCTGGACTTTCTTGCACAGAGAACTTAGAGCTGTGTGCCTTGGCCACTGGCCCTGAGGAGTCTTTTCTTGCAAACAATGGAGTAAAAGCCCCCGCCTACACTTCTTCCTGTGACCCAGCAGCTGGCGCAGCCTTGGCGAAGGAGACTCGGAAACGGTGAGGCAGACAGCTAGGAAAGCCTCCCTGGCCACAGGGTGTGACCACGATGAGGGCGAGAGGGTGGAGCAGGGACCTTTGGAGTACAACAAGGGAAACAAGGCTTCAGGGAGATGCTGGGGCACACGGGTCATTGCTGAATCCTGAGATTCCGGCTGTCGGGCCTCCAGGAAAATGGGAACCCCTGCCTAGGCCCGTGGTAAGTGGGCTGGGGCTCCCTGTTGCAACCTGTTGCCGAACTCTGGCTGCAGAGGGCTTGCCAGGGCCTTCTGATCGTAATGACCCTGGACTCAGGGGGGGCTTACCTGGAGGGTTGAGGGGTGGAGTGGGGGCAGGTGGGTGGAGAGGATGGTATTGCTGGCCTGGAGAAATGGGACTGGCCCGGCAGTGTGCCGGCCTGGGGGAGTGGTGCTGGTCTGGTGGGCAGGGCTGGCCTGGTAGGCGAGGCTGGCAGGGCAGGGAGTGCTGGCCTGGTGGGTTTGCCTAGGGCAGGACACAAACCCATTGTGCTGGTTCAGCAGAGAATAGGGTTCCAGATACTTTGGAAATGGCTCTGTCGCGCTTCCTGCCTCTCTGAGCATCCTCCACTCTGCTTTATCCAAGCCGCAAACCATGATTTATAGTCTCTGTTTTCAGTAGAAGAAGTGTGACTTACAGAGAGAAGGAAAGGTTGAGCTGGATGGGAACCCCGAAGTCTGGCTGTCACACTCAAGGGCGTGTTTGTGGCAGGCCCTCCCTTGGGGGTACTGGAGCGATGGGATGTTCCCAAACTTTGTTCAGCATGCTGGAGTTTCCAGGCCACTGAACACCAGTGCTCCCAAGAGACCCGCCTGGATGTGGCTTCCTCTGCCGGGCTTCTGCTACACTGTGAGTTGTACTGGCCCTCTACCCCCAGCCATCCTGGCCTGCGTAACTGCCCCTTTAACAGAAGGGTAAACCGAGGCTGACAGGAAATCAATTCTCCCTTAAGGGTCTGTGGAAGCTGCAGCTGGGATGTGTTGACTTTCTGCCCAGGCCTCCTTCTCCACAGTGGCTAGATGCGTGGGAACCACAGAAAGCCAGGCCAGTCAGCAGCTGTTCCTTGCAGATCAGCTGGTCAGTCTCTGACTCATCTTGCATCCCAGTGGCCCTGTCCTCATCTCCCTACACAGCCTTGTTCCTCAGGCATGAGAACGGCACCAGGCCTGTCCCCCTGCTTCTCCCCAGAACCCAGGGAGACACTGTTCTCAGTCTGCACACACCAGATGGGCTGGGCATCCACGCGATTTGCTGGCCAAATTGGAACACTTTAGGGAGTCACTGATAATTACACAGGGATTGGTCATGGCAAATAGTGTCTGCCACCCTGCCAGACAGGCATTGCTCAACTCACATATCAGAACTCGGGTCTTGGCCAGAGAACAGAGCCAGACAGCACAGGGGCTGAAGCGGACTTGAGAACCCCGCCCCCTGAGGGGAATCCAAGTCTATGAGAGACTGTGGAGGACTGTGTGAGATGAGCCTGGTTCACAGCCTGCTTCTGCCACCTGTGGGCTGTGTGAGCTCAAGCATGTTACTTAACCTCTCTGACCCTTGCTTTCCCCATTCATAAAATTACCACAGGACAGCAGTAGCCGCTATTAGATGGGATGATATAAATAAATTGACCACCGTCGCATGTACTAAGTAAATAAGAAGCCATTGCTATTTTTTGTGAGAATTTGAGATTATTGATTGATGTTTCCTAATAAAATGGAACATTAAAATCTCAGCTACAGCCCTGACCTTGACTTAGGCACAGAACCATGGGAATGAAGGCCAGGTGAAGGAAGTTGGAGTGCTGGGCATGAAGGACAGAGGCTCACACACTATGGGTCCAGAGAGGACTTCCCCGTGTGGCAAGGACGTCAGGGTGGGATTCCAGAAGGAGGCAGCCTCTGGGCAGGGACACAGTCAGGCCTCTTTGTAATGTTAAGCCATATGTCAGGAGGGTCACCTGTCATAATTCACAGAAGGAAAACCCGCTGCATTCTGCTTCTTGTTGAGACAAAGTCTTGCTCTGCAACCCAGGCTGGCTTTGAACTCCTGCCACAGCCTCCAGAGTGCTTGGATTACTGGCCAGCACCACCATGCTCTGCTGAAATTCTGCTTTTTATCCCCATGTAAAACCTCAGTGCTGGGTATGAAGAGATGGCTCAGGCGTTAAGAGTACTTGGTGCTCTTGCAGAGAGAGTACCAGGGTTAGAGTCCCAGAACCTACACAAGGGCTCACAACTGCCTGTAATTCCAGTTCCAGGGGTTATAACGCCCTCTTCTGGTCTCTCTGGTCACTGCATACACACAAGCACACCAGTGGCCTTGGCCTCAGCTCCCGACCTGCTTCATTCCTCAGGAATAAGGACGGTACCAGGCTATGCTGACAAAACACTCATAATAAAATACAAACCAATAAGTCTTAAAAGAAATGCTCTTTTTGAGATGTCACATGTCATGTCATTCTTACCCCCATTAGTTTTTCTTGGGGTCCTTGGGATCATATTTCATCTGCACCCTATTTAGTCCAGGTTTGAAAAGAATAGAGGGAGTTCAGAGCAGGGTGGGGATTGATAGGGCCTGGGGTCTGGAGGGGCAGTATTCTGCCTCCAGGCCTCTCAAATCTACCTCTAAGCCTGCCAGGTTGTTTTTTTGTTTGTTTGTTTTTTCTGTTTTTGTTTTTGTTTTTTTTTTAAATTTTTTCAAGACATGGTTTCCAAGTGTAGGCCTGGCCATCCTGGAACTCACTCTGTAGACCAGGCTGGCCTCACACTCACAGAGATCCGCCTGCCTCTGCCTCCTGAGTGTTGGGATTAAAGGCGTGCGCCACCACCACCTGGCCCAGTCTGTCTGTCTGTCCATTTTAGTCTCTCCTCAGTGAAGCCTGCTCTGGTTTCTATGAACACATGGCCCTCTGTCTACATGCTTGGTTCAACAATCACCGAACATCTTTGACCAGTTAAAATCCCGAGAAAGGAGTCTTTCTGGCTGCTCACCTCCGCCTCCGCCTCTCTCTCCTCAGGTACCAGTCTCTGATGAAGAGGTAGAGGCGTAGGCTAAGCAGAGGACTATGACAAGAATTCAGTAAGAAAGAAGTCTATGATCAATTAGCGGTGTCTGGCTGGGTATAGGAAACACATGTGTTGCAAAGCTGAGAACACATAAGTAGATAGGGCCATGATGAATGGACCCAGTGGCAGACTCTATTGTGACATGAGACAGTGAGGCTTCTGGAGGGTACCGCCTCAGCACAGGCTTAGAAATGGGTATCAACCTGGTCATGCTAGGTGGCTCAGCCCTTCTGTGGCTGCTTCAAGGGCAGCTCCCTCAACCACATCCCTATCCCTGTCCCTGGTGTCACAGTCCCGGCCCAGGGAAGTCACAAGTCAATCTGCAGCTGAGCCCATACTCAAACCCTATTTCCTTCTCCAGCCCAGCCTGTGTGTTATGGCAGAGGAGGGGGTAGAGGCAGGGGAGCGGGGAGAATGAAATCAAGAAATAACAGGCTTCATAGGAGGAGTAATGACATTTTAACTTGAAAATTGCAAGAAGACGGGGCTGTGGAGGCATATGCAAATTTCACACAAACGAGATGCAAATGAACCTGTCTCTGCCTGCCTCTTGCACCTGGACGTGGCTCAATGACAAACCCTAATGGGCACAGCGTGTCTGTGTGATTGATCACCAAGGCCAGCTGGGATGACAACTGTGCTCTTTTTCTGGGAGCTGGGGGAGAGATGTAACTGCTCCTAGGAGGCCCTGAGCACTGTCTGGAAGGAGACTCCAAGTCACGGCCTTATCAAGCCCAAGGTTAGGGAATTTAGGGCCCATCTACTACCTACATTCCTGCCAGCACCCATGGCAGGCATCATTAATCAATCATAGAGTTCTTACTGAGCTCTGGGCAGCCCTAACTAATAGAAGAGAGTTGTTGTTGATTCATCTATTCATTCATGCACCTGACGGCCATGAATTCCAAAGGTCACAGGACAGGTAGGCTCAGTTCTTGCTCTCACAAAAAAGTCTAGGACAGGACATTAGCATTAATAAAATATTGCAAAATGGCAATTTGGATACATGACCTCAAGGGGAAAAAGTTCAGGTTTATTGTAAGGGGTGTGAGCGTGTAAACGCGCATGTTATTTTAAGGATCTAATTCAGGGCCTCTCTCTGCAGCTGAGCTACACCCCCAGCCCTAAAAAAATCTTACACCTACAAGGTGTCCAGGAAAGGCTGACCCTGTCAATCAGAAGGCTAAGGAAGTCTTACTAGCTAAAAGGAGGTGGGAAGAAGTTCTGTGTTGGATACTGTCAGTATTTATCTCGATTCCCATGGTCACTTTTTTTTTTTTGCTTTCATATTTTTGTTGTTGCTGATATTTTTTTGTTTATTTGTTTGTTTCTGTCCTTCCCTCTTTTTTTTTTCTTCTGTCTGTCTGTGTTTTGGGCGTATGTTTTAAATAACTGTATAGCGCTAAGGCTCACATGCCGCAATACCCACCCACTTAACGCATACAACACAACGTCTTTTTAATATATTCACAGGTATATCCTGCTATTACCACAGTTAATTATAGAATGGTTTCATCTCAAGAAGAAGAGGAAGAAGATGATGATGATGATGATATCTGGTGTGCCGGAGAGATCGATCAGCAGTTAAGAGTGTTTGCTCTTGAGCAGAACCCAGGTTTGAATCCCAGCACCTATGGGGGTTCACAACCATCCACAGCTGTAGTTCCCGGGGATCTGATGCCCCTTTCTGACCTCCACAGGCACCAAGCACTCAAATGGTGGGTGCACAGACATACATGCAGGCAAAATACTCACCCATAAAATAAATTTAACAAACGACTCACTGGTTGTAGGGGGGGGCAAACGCTAGGCTCTGTAGGCATCACCGCCAGGCCTGATGCTTCCTCTGCGGTCTTAGGCACTACCAGCTCTTCATTGTGTTCGGCATGAATGCAGTCACTGTAACCGCAGCCTCCTGTGACTAATTTCTTTCACGTAGCATGAAGTCTGTAAGACCATCCATGTTGCTGCATGAATCACTATTTCTCTCCAAAACTTTCACCGTGGGAAAATGCACAGCACAACACGGGCCGTTTTAACTACTTTCAGATGCACACTTCTTCGCTGGTCCTCTCTGAAATGTGTGGGCACCAGCACTGTTTCCAAACATTTTTCATGTGTCCAAACGAAAATTCCCCCACCCACTAACAATTCCCATCCCCTCTGCCTCCCAGCCCCCCGACTCTTCACCCACTGTCGTCCCTGTGAACCTTTGGCCGTTTCCCCTGACGGAACCGCAGACAGTGTCTGCTGTGTCCATTCCGTTTCACCTCGCGTAAGGTTTGCCCCAGGTGCAGCCTGCACCAGAACTTTGCTCCTCTTTGAGTGGAGTGCAGCTCGGTAGGTAGAATGCTGGTCTAGCCCGCACTTAGGAAGTTCTGGGTATGGTGACGCACGCCTGTAATTCCGGGGAGGCAAGGAGATCAGAGATGCAAAGTCATCCTCTGCTACACAGTAAGTTCAAGGCTAGCCTGGGATTCTTGAGATCCAGTTTCAAAACAAACAAGGACATAATTCCTTTCACTATAAATGGATGTGGTGTGTGTGTGTGTGTGTGTGTGTGTGTGTGTGTGTATTTATCCACTCATATTTTTTGGACATTTGTGTTGTTTTTGCCTTTAGCTATTGTGAATAGTGCTGCTGAGTTTGTATACAATGTTTCTTTTGTTCCCGTTTGTTTTCAGTTCCTGGGGTTTATATCCAGAAATGTATCCCTTGGGCTGATGTAAGGCACCGCAGCTGCTCCTTCATGTGTGTGAGGGTTCTGCTTCGTGACCTCCCACACCAGGAGTCTGCTGCACTGCTGCTGTTGGGTGTTTTCATCCGGGTTTCCCCATGGCAAAGGGTGCATCTTTCCATGTGCTTCTCGGCTATTTATGTGTCCTCTCTGAAGATGCCTGTTCGGGTTCTGTGTGTGTGTGCATCTGGTGCCCGTGGAGAGCAGAAGTGGACATCAGATGGAGTTATTGATAGTAGTGAACCACCATGTGGGTGCTGGGAACTGAACCTGGGTCCTCTGCAAGAGCAATAGGTGCAGGTGCTCTTAACCTCCTGGCCATCTCTCCAATGCCCCTTTTCACTTTTTTTTTGTTTGTTTGTTTTTTTGTTTTTTTCGAGACAGGGTTTCTCTGTGGCTTTGGAGCCTGTCCTGGAACTAGCTCTGTAGACCAGGCTGGTCTCGAACTCACAGAGATCCGCCTGCCTCTGCCTCCCGACCCTTTTCACTTTCTTAATAATGCACACAAGTTTTAAACTGGGGAGAAAGTGTCTCATTTCACAGCCTAGGCTGACCTTGAACGTCCACGCCTCCTGCCTTCACTTTCTGACAGCTGGAGGTGTGTGTCACCACACCACCCTACCAATTTTTAATTTTTGGTGAAGTCTAATTTACTTATTTTTGCATTTTTTTTTACTTGTGATGTAAGAGTCTGAGAATCCACTGTCAAATTCAAGCTCAGGCTTTCTTCTAAGGGTTTCTTAGGCTTATTTCTTTCCTTTAGGTCTGTGATCCATACCCTTCAGAACATGGAATGAAAGGGTCTGACTTCATTCTTTATGTGTGGAAACCAGGTAGTATCAGAGCCATTTGCTGAAGAGACAATTCTATTTTTAAACTTTTGTATTATTTAGTATTGTTATGTGTATATTATATATGCACTTGGGTACACATGTGTCATAACAAACTCATGAAGGTCAGAGGACAACTTCACAGAGTCAGTTCTCTCCTGGGATAGAACTCAGGTCATTGGGCTTGAGCAGCAAGCCCCTTTACCCGCTGAGCCATCTTGTTGGCCCTGAAGAGACAACTCTTTTTTCGTTGATAGACTTGGCATCTTGGTCAAATCGGGTCATAGACATATGATTTCCCTTCTGCCTCTCCACTCTGTTCCACGTGTCTATCCATTTGGCAATATGGCACTGTTTTGGTCTTTATAGTAAGCCTTTAAATTTATAGTAAGATTTATAGTAAGCCTTTAAACTGCAACTTGGAGTTCTCAGCTTTTTTTCCCTAGGTTGTTTGCCTGTCTGGGGCTTTTTGAAGTCTGATGTAAATTTGAGGATTGGCTTTATTATTTGTGCAGTAGAGCCTGCAGGAATTGTGCGAGGCCTACCCTGCCTCTGCAGATTCCTTCTGCAAGGCCTATGCTCTTAGCAGTGTAGAGTGTTCCTGCTACCAGAGATTTCAGGCTCAAACTTGGGCCCCAGCAGCTCCACCAAGCTAGCCTCAGCCACCCATCCTCAAGGGGCCAATTGAGGAAACAAGTGAAAAGCTGAGAAGGAAGATTTATTCAATGTGGCCTCTTTGGGGAGAAGAGCAAACAAAGGACCGATGCCACCCAAGTCTATTTGGGGGGTTCTGATGGGAGGTGTTTGGGTTTCAGTGCGGGATGAGGGCCATACATAAGTAAGTAGTCCTGGTCCAGGTGTGGCTCTGCCTGTCAGTGACCCATCATTGTCTCTGTCCCAGTCTGTCCCACAAGATGGCCAAGGGAAATGATCTGAACTGTGTGGAATCTCTTCCTGGGGGATAAGCTCCTCATCTCTGACTGCACCGGGCCTTTAATTCTTTGGGGCCCATGACTTTAGTATCTGCACATGTGCAAGTGCCCCTTTAGGATACTGTCTCTCCTGCCAGGACCAATACAGCGCCTTTCTCTGTGTTTGTAGACTTCTGCCTCGAGGGACTTGATGCGTTACGCTGCAGCTGATATGAACATTTCTGAAACATGCCTGTGTCGGGAACAAACATCAGAAAAGAGCAGCCACCCAGGCTAGAAGACGTCAGTTAGTGTCAGCTCACCGTGGGTGAAAACGGTTCTCTTCCTCTCTGCTCTGTAACTAGGAAGGGCAGGCCCAGGTGGTTTCTGTTTGGGGCCTGCCCACGTGGTCAGCTTGTCATCCAAAGAGTACTTACTGATTTAATGATGGCAGAAACACCAGGAGAATTTTCTTGGCCATTTTATGTGTTAAAAATCCAGATGTAAGACATCGTATAAAAGAGAGCACTTACTGGTCGTTTTGCACACATCATATTTACATGCTTTTAGCTCTGTGAGTTTTGTGTAATATAGAGAAAAGGGGCTCCCAACAGGCCTCAGAAATAAGGTACTTGCCGCCAAGCCTGATGACCGGACTTTGATTTCTGGAGCCCGCGTGGCAAAAGGAGAGAAGTGACCCCTGTAAACTGTCATCTGACGTCCATACATGGGCTGTGGCATGTCACATGCACAAGACCACACGCGTGCACAAGCACACATAATAAACCAATGTCATAAAGTTTAGACACAGCATTCCAAACGCATTTATAATCACAAGTTATACAGGAATAAATGCACTAAAATCACTTTGAAATAGTTGCATATCAACTATTTCATTTTATGTGTTATTCAAAAGCAATGATTCAAAAGATTTTTAACACAAATAGATACTTAAATGAACCTTGACTTTGTTGAGACTCCGTTTCCCAAGTGATGAAAAACCTGGCAAAATCAGCAGAAAACATGAGCAACCCTAACAAAATGTAAGATCTTGGTGGTTTTATAGTGTACGCACACACTGAGTTAGATATTAAAATATCCAGTTTCATAACATTATTTATAACAAAATATATCATCTACTCACAACCAATTAATGCTGAGCAGCAACCTTATTATTCCAACTGCAAAATTAGCCCATATTTCAATACTAACAAAATATATGTCCGATCCACATGGAACAAAACCCAGAAACCTTGCAGACGCTATCTCTAAATATGGGTCAATACAAAAATTTGTCTTTTAAATTTACAGTTTTAACTTTGCCTGGCAAAAACTGGCTTAGAGAACTTCGAGCACTTAGCCGAAGCACACTTTAACACTTGAATCACCCTCAAATACAAGACTTTAGCCTGGTAGGACTTAATAATAAGCCCCTTTCCCATCATCTTCAGGGTAAGCTTACCAAGTCCTGAAAGCTACTGTTTGTAGGGACTGAATTCTCCTGGAAATTCCATTATGAAAAGATTTAACATAAAATAGACATATATATTCCTATATATATGTAGTAGTAGCTTTAATAAAAACTTACACTGGATTTCTAGAGAATTTACGTATCAATCACATATTAAGAATATCTAAGCCTGTCGGTGATGGCGCACACCTTTAATCCCAGCACTCAGGAGGCAGAGGCAGGCGGATCTCTGTGAGTTCGAGGCCAGCCTGGTCTACAAGAGCTAGTTCCAGGACAGGCTCCAAAGAAACCCTGTCTCGAAAAACCAAAAAAAAAAAAAAAAAAAAAAAAAAAGGGCTGGAGAGATGGCTCAGAGGTTAAGAGCATTGCCTGCTCTTCCAAAGGTCCTGAGTTCAATTCCCAGCAACCACATGGTGGCTCACAACCATCTGTAATGGGGTCTGGTGCCCTCTTCTGGCCTGTAGGCGTACACACAGACACAATATTGTATATATAATAAATAAATAAATATTTTTAAAAAAACCCAAAAATTATCTGGCCGATGCCCCCCTTGTCTGCCATGTGGTGGTGAGGGCACGGGAAAGATGCTCTCTCCCCCTCATCCCTGCGATCTGTGGCATGGGAGGGAGCTGGCTCTCCCCCCCTACCAGCTGCAGCACTCAGGAAAGTGGGCCCTGCACTTCTTCACCCGGGCAGCAGAGTAGAGCTGACCCGTTGACAGGAGCGCTGGTGAGCCACTGGCCTGGAATGTGAGCTTGGGAGATCTGGCCCCGCCCCCATCTGCCATAGGATGGTCTGGGTGAGGGAGAAATACCTCTCTCCGCCCAAGCCTTCAGCCTGTGGCAGTGGGAAAATTGTCCCTGAGGTCATAAGATCGGGAGAGTTGTCCCTGCCCCTCACCAGCTGCAGAGCTCTGGGAGAGTGGCCCTTGCATCTTGCCTGGGCAACACAGTCCAGCTGGCCCTGATGAGGGTGTGAAAGCGGGAGAACTGGTTCCACCCCTTGCTCCTTGCTACGAGGGCGAACTGGCTGGGGCAGTGCTGGAGAGCGCGCCCTGGTGGTGAGGATGGGGAAGAGCTGGCGGCTGACCAACCCTGCGACTACCTGGCCCAGACCCAGGGTTATGAGCTGGCCCACCCCAACATCCATCCCATCTATCAGCTGCTGAGTATGAAGGTCCAAAGCTGCAGGATCTCCACGACACAGGGCAACAACAGGATGTCCAAGAGTCCCAGTGAGGTCCCAGGACCAACCGTGTAGCAGAAACCAGAGGCCTCGAACAAGACCATTGACTCTTTGCAATGAACACTTAAGGATATACTGTGTGACTCGCGGTGTCATACTACGGCCTCCATGATGAGATTTTTCTTTTCGTTTTTATTTTCTCTTAAATTTTATTTTATTTTATTTTGCGGGGGAGGGTGCAAGGACGGAGGGCGGATATGAAGGGACAGAGATGAATGGGATTGAGCTACCTGCTGTGAAAGACACAAAGAATAAGTAAAAAGAAAGTTAAAAGAAATATCTGGCCAGCAAGATGGCTCAGCGGGTAAAAGCGCTTGCCCCACAAGTCTGGCAACTGAGTTTGACCCCGGGAACCCTCAGTGGAAGGAGACGACCAGCTCCCAAAAGTTGTCCTCTGACCACCACCTGGGCACATGTGCACCCTGCAACTCACATCGTACGCACACATATACAACAGTAGTAAATTAAATTAATTTAAAAAAGAATATTCCTGGAAACCCATACAATAATGAAAGAAAAGGAGGGTTTTTCCAGCTTCGGTTTCAATTAATTAATTCAGAATTAACACTTGAAAAGTATATAGGTCTAAACCATTCTACAGGTTAACAAGGGCAGTGGTTCTCAGCCTTCCCAATGCTACGACCCTTTAATACAATTCCTCATGTTGTGGTGACTCCCGACCACAAAATTATTTTTGTTGCTACTTTATAACTGTAATCTTGCTACTGTTAGGAATCATAATGCAGATATCTGATATGCGGGATATCTGACGCGTAAACCCTAGAGGGTTGCAACCCACAGGTTGAGAGCCCCCGCCTTAAGACACAGACACATACTATTTTACGGGTTAAATTCAAAATTAGGCTTTCATTTAATAACATTTTGGTTAGGCCCGAGATCAAGTCTTATGCAACCAGATTTGCTTCAGTCTCAAGCTATCCAGTGAACTGAAGAACCCATGTGTTTTAATTCTTTGGGACGTGTCTGGATGGCCCTGGGTCGGGGTTTCAGAGAAAGTGCTGTGTGACTTATTACAAAGCTGTGGGGAAGCTTCTGTTGGTGCTGAGAACAGGTTCAGGGTCTTGTGATTGGCAGCAGACTAAGTGTGCAGGGCACCGTAACATCCAGCACAGGGCTGGAAACTTCTTGTGGCAGCAGGGGACAGTCACTCTGGAGTGTGTAGGGCCTCTCAACGAGGGCTGTGCCATGGACTCTGGGGGGGTATAGAGGGCGGGGTTGTCTTAAGTGTGTTAATTGAGGTGGAAGAATCACCCTGACCGCGGAAGCACAAGGTGCTAGAATGGGTCTTGGACTGAGTGGAGAGGGGAGGGAGTCGAGCACTGAAAAATGTACATATATATATACAATGAATATATATATATATTAATTCTCTCTCTGCCCTCGACTGCTGATGTGACCAACCACTGTCGCCCCTGACAACGGGCTGCAACTTGAAATCCTGAACTAAAACACACCTGCCTTCCCAAGCCGCTTTGTCAAGTGGCTTTCCTCAGGGTATTGTCTGGGCGGGGCAACAACAAGGGACGCTGCAGAAATGGTCCCATAGGCTGGTCGTTTGATGGTTGCTTCCCCAGGTGACAGCACTGTTTTAGAAGGTTCTGGAAAATGTGGACGTAGCCGTAGCTGGAAGAAGAAAGTCACTGGGGTTGTATGCTTGGGGGTCTATCATTCCCAGCCACTTTCACTCTTGTGGTTCTGTTTCCAGGCCCCTGAGATGTCAACGGCTTTGCTCCAACAAACCCTCCCTGCCACGATAGACTGAACCCTCAGACACCCTGAGGCAAGACAACTCCAACTTCCCTGTGATTTGTTCCACGGGGGTTTTACACACCAAAACCTAGATGGCTGATGCCAGGCTGAGGATGAGGCTCAGCCGGTAGAGTGCTTTCCTAGCGTGTACAAAACCCTGGATGTGATCCCCAGTCCTACATGACACCGGGCGTGGTGGTACACGCCTGTAATCATAGCACTCGGGATGTGGAAGCAGTTAGCTCGGAAGTGTCAGAGGCTGGGCTACAATGAGGCCATGTCTGAACAACAACAGCAAACAAAAATTAAAATAATTAGTATGTGCACCTCCTGATTTGCACCGGAGTCTCTGGGCGCGGTGCGATGACCTGTCCCTGCAGCCTGCAGCCAGAAGCAGCCAGAAGAAAGCCACACTGCAGCAGCTGGCTTGTGCCCAAGTCTCACTTCTGGATGGGTCGGTGCCATTTTTAAAAGGCTCTTTTGAGGTACCTTGTAATGTTGCTTTTATTTCTACAGTGTGTTTAGAGCTCTGAAGAGGTCCGAAGACATGTTGTTTCTCTCCTTGGTGCCAGGATGGGCTGTTGGTGTGTGGAGACGGAGGCAGGATGGGGAGGGCAGACAGGAACTTCAGATGACAAACGCCCTGCCTCCTGTCATCCTGCCTCTCTACGCCCTAAGATCAGTCCCTCACCGCAGGCCACTAATAAGATCTCTCTCGAAAACTAACGCCGTAGGATTCTGCCACCCACCACCAGTTCTCTGACGGACCCTGGGTGGGCACCCTTCAACTCAGGTCAGGGTGGCACTACCTCCCTGAGGACAAGCCAGATGGCACAGGTCACCGTCTTGGACCCACAAGACTGCTCCCTGCTTTGGGTGCCCATCGCATCCCATGAGCTGTGTTCTGTGTTTCTTAACAAAGAGCTCTAAGTCGGGAGCCCCCCCCCCAGGCTCCGTCACGTTGTTGAGACAGATCACAGAACTCGGGAACACGCTTGCACATACAGGCTCACTGCAAAGACAGAGAGAAATGGCCTGACAGGAGTTATGGGCAAAGCAAGACAAATGGAAGGGGCAAAGTTTGTGCCCTGGCTGGGCTTTCCACCTTCCTCTATTTCCCAGTGTCTAGCCTGCTGCAGCTCCCCAACCCAGGCCTTGGCTTTATATAGAGATCTTCTAAGGCAGCCATCACTGGCTATTCATGGCCTTTGGTAGTCAGTGTGGCTTTTGGTCCCTCAGTTCTCTTTGGGTCCATAAATGAGATGTTGAGGCTTGGTGATGAGTCCTGTCCATCATTCCGAAGACCCTCCCACCCTTCTGGAGACTTGTTGGGGTTCAGCAGCTGTGGTCCAGAGGCCAGGTTCTGGGTCTATCACATCACCACACCCCCATTTCATGGATGGGGACAGTGAGGCCAGAGGAGATCAGTATTTACCCTCCAGAATCCCTGGGGTGCTGCTGCCCTCAGAGTCCCTCCTCAGGGTCCTGCTGGCTCACATCTACTGTGCTATTTTTCAGCTGGGTAAGGGTGGGGTTCTGGGCTGGACAGTTTGTCCTGGGCAGAGAGCCAGCTTACAGCCCCTGGGAACAGCGCAGCCCTGTTTCTTCAGTGCAAACTGTGCCTTGACCCTGGCCAGCTGTCCTGTCTACATCTGGAGTGAGTAGCTAGCGGGCACAGAGGGTGCGCTGCCTGCCTCGGAGTGAAACGGTGCTGTCTGATAGAGGCTCCGTGCTGTCCCAGCTCCGCGCTGATGGGACAGGTCTGGATCCGAGCTCCCCACCCCGGCCCCCACCCCCACCCCGTCTCCATCCCTTTCCTTGCTGTGTGTCCTTGGCCAGGTTCCCATCTCCAGTCCTTCGTCTGCTTGTGTTGGGAATGGAAGTGTCTCGGAGGGTGGCTGTGGCACTGTCTCAGGAGATGGCCGGATGGAGAGCCCCATGGAGGGCTTCGACTTTGGCCTCAGTCCTGCGTCTGCCCCCCACCTCCCGCCTCTGATTGACTCACTCTAAAAGCTTTGCCCCTTCACAAGACTTAAATCCACAGAAAGGAAAGGCCTGGTGCTGTGCTTGGGGATCGAGATATCAATTTCCTGATCCATCAAATAGGTTGACAAGCCTGCTGGGCATCAGAGCCAGGAACCACTTGCTGGGTGGGGAGTCACCCCAACATCTCAGGCTAAGTTCCTTCAACTGTTCCCAGCCTCCTATTTCCTCAGGTTGGTGGGCGGGGGTTCCCGAGATAACGGGATAATTTAATGGGATAATTGGTCCCTCCCACATGGCAGGTCGCAAGCTTTCGCCTTATGTCCCATGGAGGGACACCACAGCGCCCATCTCTCAGAGCAGTCTCTGGGGGTGTGGCTTTGTCTTTCAAAGCTGTGGTCGCTGAGCAATCTCCCATGCATGGCAGCTCCTTGCCTTGTTCCCACCTTGCCAATAAATTAGGTCCCTGTGGCCTTCAAGACACAACTGAGGATTCAGGAAATGTGGGAAGCCATATGATTTGTAGTGAAGAGTTTGGGAGTCAGTAGGAATCTTTGCTGGGGCTCTGGAGAGGTTTCTTCCTGGATAGTCTAAATAACAAAAGCAGGCACTGGCCCGTCTGGTGCCAAAGTCTGAGTCTTGATACTTCAGTCATTTAGAGAGCAGTTACTATGTTCCAGATATTTAGTGAGAAGTTTCTATATGTTCCAGCACCTATCCGAGGAATTCCCACAGGCCAACTTAGGTAACACAACCTCTGAGGCCTTGTGGTTTTCATCATGTAGTTAAGGAAACCAAGAGACAGAGAGGTACTTCATTTGGCCAAGGACACACAGCTTGTGACTGATGCTGCCTAAGCAGTCAACTCCAGGTTCTCATCATGAACTAGTCTTTAGCTTTGCTCATGTTCTACCAAAGATCCTGGTTTAAGTGTCACCCACAGGACCAAGCCCAGACCATGCATGGCCCCCAGACACATGCCAATGGCCAGGGACAGCAGAAATACGAAGAACGCAAATCCACAATCACTGAGACCCAGTAGTTAGCCCCAACTCACCCACAGGTGGCCGAGGCAGCGGTGTGACATGCAAGGTCCACCTCAGTCACTTGCTGCATTGGACAAGACAGCCCAAGCCGCTAGAAGTCTTGGCTTCCTCCTCAGGAAAAGGATGGGAAGTTAATACCAACTCCACGGGGCTGCTGGGATGCGGTCAGCAAGCCTTACAGAGTTGTTGCTGTTGTCTTTTAAGGATCTCAGCACAAAGTTGGATGCGATGGAAGCACCGGCTGACTCCTCATTATTTACGTTTTGTGTGAATGTTTATGTGCATTTGGGAGCCATCGCCTGCACATGTGGAGGTCAGACGTGACAGCCGTGGTCCTCTCCACCTTGCTTTCTGATGCAGAATCTCACTGAACCTGGAGCTCGCCGATTCAGCCAGACTGGCTGAGTGAGCGTGTCTCAACCCCCTTGCTCCAGGGTACAGGCATGTGCTGCCACACCAAGCTTTTTACCCGGGGGCTGGGGATCTGAGCTCATTGTCCCCACACTGGCACAGCAAGCACTTCACCCCGAGCTATCTACCGAGCCCCTCCTCGTTTCTGAATGTGGTCATTCACCAGTATTCCATGTCTGCATCTTTCCTCTGTAGGAGCTGCCCTGAGCAGGTCAGTAGTTGGGGTACAGTTCTTTTTGGAAACAGGAGGGTGTCCAAGACCTTGCGGTGCCCTCTTCCCCTAAGCTCCTTGGTTCACTCATCCCTTCTCCCCCTCCTCTTTCCCAGCAGCAACCGGTTGTGGGCCTCACTAAAGTCAGCTTTCATTCTTGTTCCCCAGGTTTCCGGCTCCTTGCCTGTGGTCTCCACTGGCTGGATGCTGTTTCTATAGCAACAACAGCTTAAGAGCCTTAGTCCCCCCTCTGAGGTGACAGGCTTGGATGGAGATGGCTGATCAAATTCCTCAAGCATCCTCCGCCTTCTGGATGCAAAGCCTAGGAGAGGAATACAAAGTCTTAGCTGCCTGCGCTTGGAGCCCCAAGAACACCTCAAGGGAACCACCCTAGGTTTCAAGTGTCCCCTGAAATTCACATGTTGGAAACTTGAGAGATGGAGGTAGCAAAGTCATAATGGTGCTCTCCGTCCTCCTGTGGAATTAATGTGGGAACAACCCTCTCTTAAGAAAGTGTTGTCCCCTTCCCCCTCTTCCACACAAGCTCCATCTATAGAGGATGCTTGCAAAAAGGAAGTCCTCGCCAGTGGCAGCCCCTGGACCCTGGTCTCCCCAGACTCTGGAACTGTAAGTCTAGTAAACTCTTGTTGTTTGTAAGTCACATAGTCTGTGACAATCTGTGATGGCAGCAGAATGAACCGCAACAGCCTGGGAAACACCTGAGCAGGTGGCCCCAGTGCAGCCTCCTGCCTCCCCCAGGCACAGAGCCTGGTTTTCCCTGGGCAGCGTTCCTCACAGTCACCTTCGCTGGTGGCTCTGCAGCAGACAGGCCTCAGGCTGTGCTTGGAGAAATCCCAAATCTCAGAGAAGATTCTTGAAGCTGTTTGGGGCTGAGACATCTCCTGTGGCACCTCATCCTCCCCTGACATGGCCTCACTGGTGGGGGCAGGGCTGCCAGGAGGCAGTCTTGGTAGGGAGGACTGATTCAGAGTGTCAATAATTGCAACATGCTAGTGCTCAGAGATGACACTAGGGGGCGCTATACTAACCCTGTAAAAAGCTAGGTGCTGTAGATCTAATAGTCTTCCCATGGCGCCCACCCTACCTGCCTTCAAAGACTACACCACCCCCCTCCACTGCTGCCCCTGGTGACACTGGGTAGTGGACACTGAATGTGGGACATGGGGATGAAGTAACACTCCAAGGGAACTGGGGGTGTCTATGGAGTGCGAGGACAGTATTCTGTGTGCTTCCCTGAGTCTGAGCTGAGAAGCCCGGTCCCCTGGAAGAACTCCGTGCCAAGCAGTTTCTTCCTCTGCCATGCTCCTGCCGTTATCCTCCAGAGCCTGCTCCTGGGAGCAGGAGATGAGGGCTGCCTCCCCTCTCAGATGAGCATCTCAGAGGCCTGTTGCTGTCCCCTGCCACGAGACCCTGGCAGACCTAGGCAGGATGGAACTTGCTTGACAAATACCTTTTATTTCCTCTCCCTGCTTCCCATCCCCCTCCCAGTGGTTCCTGGGGTCA